ATTGCCTCTGATCATGAAATTGTAATATATCGTAAAATATTATTATTTACATAGTTTGTCAGTTAACAAAACCCCCGGTTTGTTGATTTTTTCTTCTTTCTCTAAAAAATATTTCTGGGCACTCAAGGGGGATTCTGGATTCTCCTCCTAGTGACTCGCAAAGCGGTGAGGTTAGGAGGCCTATTATTGGGGAAAGATAGTAGTCATGCTATGAAAAAGAATCTTCCAGAGAGAACTATTTGTTGTTGTTTTCTAATCCTAATAGACTCACACTGTATCCCATATGAATACTTATTATAAAAATGTATTTTTACGAATATAACGGTTTTACATTAAAGAATATTTATGAATATCAGAGACGCATCTCTCTACCATCTGAATAACCAAAAAGCCATACACATATTTTATTTTACGGATGTATGCTTCTATACGGCGAATATTATCCGAAAATAATGTTTAGGAACAAATGACGCATAGTTGTCTTGTCTTGATTTCATAACGACTTGGATGATGCTTCGCCACATGTGTCCTTCCGGTTATTTTGTCGGGCTTATAACACCCATTCGTTAATAGCTTATTTTTACGTACTAAATATTTTAGCAGAAATATATTCTCAAGGCAAATGCCATTCTCTTTGTTTGAAAGAAGGAGAGATTTGTTTTTTCAAAAATAAGATAAAGCAGCTTCTGACAAACTTGCGCCAAGTTTACTTAAACAGCTTTAGGCGAAGGCTCATCTGCCTTCTCTCCTGCCCTTCTTAGTCCCGGCGAAGTTTTATTGCACAAAAGTTCTTTGGGTCGCGTATGAGTAGCATGTGAAGGACAAATAAGGGGGCCTGGGGCGGAGCCACCCCAGAATTTTTTTGTAACCAACGCCCTTCAGACATCGCGCAAATGCGGGGAAACGCCCGTTTTTGCAAAATTTTCCCCCATTATTTTTTTGTAATGTGTAAGCACGGTATAATAGCAAAGTATTTAACAAATTGGTTATTGACACAAGCATATCAGTATACTAACCCCACCCCCCCCCCCCAACGAGTTTTACATCATCATTTTTGGACAAATCTCGAGGATCATATTTTAGAAAAGTGGGGGGGTCCGGACCCCCCTATTCCCCCCTTGGGTACGCCACTGCAGTCCGTTGAGCAATCTTGAAATCGTGGAATGATGTTTCTTTATTGTTTGAAATGCCATAGATTTTTCAACAAGACTCTATCGATGGCTATACTGAAGGAAAAGATTAAAGTAGATGCGACTTCAGCGATTTTCTAAAGAGGAAAGTAAACCAATCGATGTTATACCATGTTTTAATCTTTTTCAGTTTTCTGTAGCATCTGTCGTTTTGGGATATCTGTTGCCTGAGGGGAGTCAGTCAAAATGGTTTGTTGCTTCTGGTCTTCTACAAATAAGTGAATTCTCGTTTGTGCTCAGCAGCAGAGCTCGAAGATTTGCGCTGATATCCAGAGAAGTAAGATTTTGTTGATTTTTAGATTTGCTGTTTTATTCATGCTGCCTGGTACCAACTTTATTTTATTAAACGAATGGCTTGTTTTACAAAGCCTATTTAAAGAATGTACAGACTCTCAAAAACGGCAAGTTTATTTGAGATCTGCTGAATTTCTTGAACAAG